GTATTTACATTTTTATAAAAAGAAGGAAATCAGGGACAAAGACAAGAAGGTCACGATCAATTTAGAAAAGTTCGTTCCCCAAATTAGTCCTACGGGGAATCGAGCTCCAGACGTTCTCCTTTAGTGCTCAGAGAGATGACTGCTGGGTCACCGAGGCCATCAAAGTAAGCTAAACCTATTTGAAATGTTTGTTTTATATTTAATTTTTTTTTTTTTTATTGTATTGTATGTAAAATAAAATACCTAATTAATATTTTTATTAAAGACACGCTGCACCCGGAATTCGTTGCATTGTCACTGCCTGATTTATTAATGATTTATAATTGAATTAAAAGTCATCAAAGTAAGATAAACGAATCTGAAATGTTTATTTTTATTTTTATTGTATTGCATATAAAATAAAGTACGGATAACGGCACATCAGACTACACATTTTTGTTCGAAAATCGCCTCCAGTGCAACGGAACAAGATAGTAGCTTGATGTGCTGGCGTGTGAACCTAATTAATATTTTTATTAAAAACATGCTGTACCCGGAATTCGTTGCATTGTCACTGCCTGATTTATTTATGATTTATAATTGAATTAAAAGCCATCAAAGTAAGATAAACGAATGTGAAATGTTTCTTTTTGTTTTTATTGTATTGCATGTAAAATAAAGTCATTCTATGTTGAAAACAAGCAGTACCCGGAGTACGTTGCATTATCACTGCCTAATTTATAATTGAATTAAATTTAGTGTGCCCGATATTTTAAATTGGTTCTAATGCTTCAGAAACTTATGTGGGCACAACAATTCAAACGCTTTATCGCAAAAACATACGTTTATTTTTATATTGTGCCGTTGGTATATAATGAAAGTCTAAATAAATAAAGTCGTATGTCTTTTAACCGACTTCAGAAAGGAGGTTTTTTTTGTATGTATATTATGCGATAACTCGTGAACCGATTTTGATGATTTTTTTTGTTGGAAACCTCAGTAGTGGCCCCATTTAATTTTGAAAAAAATATTCCACCTCTAAGGGTGGCTGTTCACGCATGAAGACTTATTTTTGTAAATAGCGCCTAAACTTTCTAGAGAGCAATTATTTTAATGCTTGATTTTGCTATGTTCCAATTGAAGGCGTTTTTCTGTCTATATACTTTCAGCAGCGAGTACCGATGTATATTGTCTCCTATATTAAGTCCCGTATAGTGGCGAACAATGGGACGAAAAAAGTTTTGCACACTTTCCTGTAACCGATTTCAATAAAACTTTGCAAATAGATGTAATTCCACGAACTTGTCAGATCACATTTTTAGTACTCTGTACTGAAATTGTTATAATAACCAAGTGACGGGACGAACCTGTGCGCCTGGTGGTATGCTATAACAGTTGCAGTGCCACTCAGAGCTTTACGTGTGAGCTTGAAATAATACGAAGTACATGAAATAAAGTATGTACTACGTGAAATTTTATAATTCTCCCACATAAGCTTATAAAAGTTATCGAACAGTTTCGTTCGTAGTATATTTAAACATCTCTTCTGAAAAGTTGTCATTTTGTTGATGTGGCTTTATTACACCAAGGGTGCGATATATTGCACGTTAAAACCAATATTGTAACTAAACGACAATGTAGATTTTTCAAATCTAATCTCACTTTCAGTACCTTTAATAGTAATTTCTGGAAGGTTTACGTTTAGTAATAAAATGAATCTAGTTTTTTTGTTTTATTTCTTTATTATGAATACTACAGTCTGTAAACTATTTCCAACGGATTCAAATGTTTTTTTAACACATCCATTTAAATATTTTGGTACAGTCATTGTTTACACTAATTGGGTATGATATTGTTCATTATTATTTTATTAATCTATGTACATTTGTTAAAATGTATAAATTTACATGTAACTAAGAACACACGTTTATTCATTTCGTAACAATTTTCGTTATCGTTACTATATATGTGTATTATTTTAATTGAATCTTCCAAGTCTGCTATGGTGGATTAGTTAAATACGTTGAACGAAAATTCACAATACGCTTACCCAATGTTTAAAGTGGAGTGCACCAAAGAGCCTCATGACGTGCCATTTCCTTGTTAGGGCGTATTTATTCGCTCACTCCGCACGGCCGCCACGCGGTCGAAGAGCGGGGTCCACGTTGCCGCCGCGGAGCGACCGCGTGCTTCTAATTGCCTTGGCAAAATACGCTCTGTTTGTCTAGTTTTTACGTTTTAACTTAAATGAGCGTTCCGGGCACGCGAGCGAGTCTGGCTTGAATTTGATCTACGCGACCGCCCGGTTGTACAATTCAGATGAATTTAAATGTTGTTGCCTAGTGAATAGAATTCAGTTTCGCCATTTATGTACATGAAGGCGTGGTGACCGGGCGGTCGCCCGAAAACTTTCACCTCATGTAACTGGGCGCATATACTCGTATGTCTGGTACACCCTGGGCAACAATCGGCGAATGCCTTTTGCCGATTAACAAATCCTTTCACCACGATGGCAAGCATTATAGCGAATACCATCGACAATAAGAAGACATTTAAAGTTATATACAGTTTGCCCCACGGCTATACGGCACAGAGGGAAACTACTTTAAATATTGTAGATAAAATACTTGATGGAGACTTATTTTATATTTAAAAGTATGATATTCTGCAATCAAATACTTTTAAAATGGTCATCTGAGAATCGAGCTGATCAAATGTGAAAAAAATATTCTGTATTTTATGATACCGATCTAAATGGTCATTATAATATGAAAATTATGATCTCAGCCGATTTTTCAGCCACGGAGATAGTTTCAGCTCAGATGTTGGCGACGTAGCCCAGAATGCACTAGGTGTGCAAGAAAGCAATGGTACGCCGTACGGGGAATTCCCTTTTCGTGTTTGTTAATTTAGTGCACGCCGATTGGCAGAGCATTTCACCATTATGGTAAACATTACTGTGTATGCCATCGATAAGAAAAAGAAGAACAATACCGCAGACGGTCGGGCTTTCTGTACATAACGCTTTAAGATCCGACTCGTTCTAAACTTCGTCTTAACAACAGACTTTGGTGTTGATCAGCACTCAGTCAGATTCGCAGCCTGCTGTTCCCATAGCGAAAATTTGGTTCTGCATGTATTTAAGTGACGTTGTGAAAGTATACAAAGCGTGTAATGTAATACACAAGCAGGTAACGCGTAAATTAGTTACATGCAAATTTATTCCTTTCAGCACGTGTAAGTAATAATAGACCCACAAATTGGAGTTTTTGTTGCATATACTCGCAAATATTCGATTCTTATGATAACATTCAAAAATGACCTTTATTATCTATTAACGGCTAACAAAGTTAGTATTTTTACATTATTTTACACAACTCCTTATCTTAAGTTACATTTTACAATCGTGATTATAACCACGTTCGTTGAATGATAATAAATTTAATAAAGTATTAATGATATTAATAAAAATTGTATAAATAACGTTAAACGTTTCAACACAATGTAAAGCTTGAATAGAACAATATAATCAAGACCTATTTTTGAACTCCCACTAGACAGTTCTAAATACATTGCCACCTCTTCGAACTTTATAATCTTGAAAGGGATAACAGTATGTCTTAAGTGTTTCAAGTTGAGGTTTAATAATATTGGTTACAAAATAGACAATATCCATTAATTAATCAAAGCGACATCAGATAGAATGATAACTAAACCGGTAGGGTACACGTTAACTAAGGGGTACAAGAAGAGCTGAAAAAATTTGTACAAAACAGAATTTTGCGGAGTTTTTACGAGCGGGTCCAATAATTCAAAAATGGCAGTTGTTTTCAATGGGTAGTCTTCCTAGCCACATCTTAGGCCGCCAGTTTTATTCATTTACCTTAAAGTACAAAACGTATTATGCCTACACGGATAGCCCTTCATAAGAGTACTTTATGATATTAGTCCGCTTAAAATATTCCTATCTACTATGATTAATACTGTACAGAACTGTGCAATAAAAAAGGGAAATGTAATGTCTATATTCCATCTTCAACATAAATCATACGTAATGGAAAAGGTAACCTTGGTGACGTGAAACTTTTTCGATTATCACACATTTCGTTATTGACAAGCTCGTAGTAGTAATAATTCATTCTGCCAAACTCCCGGAACAAGTTTGGAAGACGAACGCACAAAATCATTTCGCTCCAACGTGAGTGGCATTACCTACTTGGGGCTCTATTCACAAGGGAATCAAATCGGTAAAATCCGAATCGCCTTTCGCTTTTTACGTGCTTCTCAAGTTTCAGCAGCTTTAGCTTACTCCCTATTGCATTGGGGCTTGGCTTTGTCGGAAATTGTATTGATATCCATATCTGTTGTTTGCACTTCTACGTTGGGCGTGGAAAAATTGTCATAAGAAATGTATTGCGGAGCCTGTTGAGTCTCTACTTTAGCAACGACGGGACGTTTCTTAGTTTTTATATATCCTAGAGCGGACACTAACACAACGAACACAATGAAGCCAATACAACAGCCCACAACCAAACTTAGTCTTCTGGTTAATATATCTGCAATGCCCATGTACGTATTCGAAAAAGGACTCTCAAATGCAGCCCCGAAGATTTCTATTGTTCCAACACTGGTGCATTTACTAGTAAGCGAATCGTTCATATATGGCCGAAGGTGATTGAACATTTGTTCGTCAGCGTACAAATGTGCACTATCTGCACTTGCCATCCTCGCACCTGGAAGGGTTGAAGACGAAGACGCAAAGTTACCGAAGTTGCCTAACGCCATGACGCAAATGGTGTACCGAGAACCTGGTGTCAAATGATTTAGCCTCGTCGATCTGTGCGATGCATTTACGATTTTCCCCCGAATCTGTAAAGAAAGGTTTTGATTATAAATAGTTTAAAAATCTGGTTGAGAGTATGTGTCGTTATGTTAAAAGGAAGGTTTAAATGGTTCACGGCACAGCCGAATATCCACGGGCGAGAATCATAAATATTTTTTATGGTCCATTGAAGTGATGCACAGCCTTTGTATTCAAATGTTTGTTGTAAAGGCTGCCGTGCCCACAGTGTATGATACATTTTAAACTCAATACACAGGTGCAATTTTACATTTGAACCTAGTAAGAATTAATTTTTGGCACACATGCTGCTTATTTTTGTAACATGTCCGCTATCAAGTGCTTGAATTTATAAATTGACGAATAAGTACTTACGATGGCAGGGGTTTGCTCTCCAAAGTAAGCCACTTGATATCCGTTCAAGCCAGTTAGGTTGCGACTTTGCCAAGATACGACTACCGAATAAGTTTGGATATCTTGTATAGCGATTCGTGTGATAATGGGCAAATCACACAGTTTCTGAGAAGAAAGTTCGATAAAACTGTATCCGTGAAGCTCTTCGGGGTGTTCACACCGCAAATTGCTACTGGTTTTCAAAACAATTTTAAAATGGTCCTGCATCCATTTCCATAAATCTTGTGACTCGCAGTTGCATGTCAACGGATTTTCTGAAATAGAAATTCACTAGTTAAGTTTATGCAAATATCAACACAGCCAGTGCTGATTGTGAACAAATTACTAACACGTACCGTCTAAGGATAACGTCTTGATCTGTGTCTCTATAGATCTCAGCATCTTCATTTGTATCACTTCGAAGTAGTTGTGGCTCAAGTCGACAAGTGTAATTTTGTTGAGACTTCGGAACGCCTCCGAGGACACGATTGACAGCCAATTATTACTCAAGTACAACTCCGTGAGACTTTGCAGACCCCGAAATGTATCTCTATTTAGTCTTGTTATGTGGTTGAATGAAATATCCAGTTTCTGTAAACTTTGTAAGTCTGATGTAAGCTCCTCCAGTTCCCGTATCGTGTTATGTGAGATATTGAGAATACGTGCTGAATACAATCCTTGCAGCCTCTCCCTTGGAATATTTTCCAGTTTATTTTGACTTAAATCTAGTCTTTCCAATTTATGTAGCTTTGAAAATGCACCAGGCGAAAGCCGATTAATAGAATTCCGTGTTAGTATCAACGTTTTGAGCATTGGAAAGTTCTCGAAGTCTTTACTCGTTATTATTGATAGGTTAGTATTCGTTACTATCAATTCTTCTAATAGAGGAAATTCTTTTGATGGATATGTTTGCAACAATTGCTCTAATAAATTAGATGACATGTTTAACGTTTTTAGAGTCGGTAGTATTGTTTCTGAAAAACCATCACTAGGAATATGCCTAAAAATATTATTAGATAAATCTATTTCTTTTAAACCTATTGAATGTTGAAAAAAATTCGGTGGGAGAACTGTCAACATATTATTATTTAAGTTCAAAGTGACTAAGTTTTTAAGAGCAGGGGAATTAAATCCATTCAACATCGAAATACGGTTATTACACAAACTCAATGTACGAAGATTTTGTAGTCCTATGAATTTAAAGAAGTCGACGCTTTGCAGTTGGTTGTGACATAAATCCAAAACTTCCAGAGACGTGATATTAAACAGCGCCACGTGAGGAAAATCGGAAAAATTATTACCACTCAGATTCAATTCTTGCAATATTGTCGTATAAGCGAACACATCTTTGTGCAAATCCCTCAGATTATTAAAAGCTAAGTTTATTCGGAGAAGATTCTGGTTTTTAATAAATATCGCTGGAGGCAATAGAGATATGTTTGACATTTCTAATGACAGAGCTTGTAACGAGGGTAAATGGGAGAACGTTTTGTTTCCCACTAAAGTGAAGTTGTTTTTTGAAAATATTACGGACTTGAGGCCAGGTATTTGCACTTGAATGACGTCTTCCCAAGTTAAGAGATTGTTGTTCATTTGTAAGTCGTTTAAATTCGGCAAAGTTTTCAGGGAGTTCGCTTCAATAATTGATATTGAGTTTTTATTAAGTCGGAGTTGTTTGATTGGCAGAGACGAAATATCAAAATCTAAAACAATGATTTCATTTTGGGAAAGATCTAAAACTTTTAACTTCATTAAGAATTGGAAGGTGTCTTTTGCGATTTGATTTATATTGTTGCTTTGTAGATACAGTTCTTCCATCGTTACAAGTTTATAAAATGTTTCATTGCTTAGTTTCATAAGTTTATTGTTACTTAGATCTAAATACTTTAACTTTTTCAAATGCGTAAAAGTTTTATTTTCAATATGTACAATACTATTGTTTTTTAAGTATAGCCATTGAATGTTAGTTAGATCATTAAAAAGGTTAGACGTAAGTAGTTTGATGTTGTTTTCACTGAGCCACATTATTTGCACGTTGACTTGTCCTCTAAGAGAACTGTTTTTCAGCAATGACAAGTAATTAACACTGAGTTGTATAGAAACTAAGGACGAATTCCTATTTGGGAACACGTCACCTATAGTAGTCAATCGATTACCTTGTAAATTTATGTGATGGAGACTTCTCAGTGTGATAAATGCATGGGAATCAATGTTCTGTATAATATTGTTTTGTAAATGTAGTTCCTGGAGTCCAGGTAATGGACTAAAGACATTTCGCTTGATGTGGCTCAACTTATTATTTTGCAAGCGTATTTCTTTTAACTCCATGAGTTTTTCGAATATTAATTCATCTAGTTCGTTAATTTTGTTATTATCTAAACTTAAAGTTATTAATTTACGGTTGGACTGAAATATATTACGAGGAAGTTTATTCAAAAAATTTGTTCCCATATGAAGTTGTGTTAAGTTTTGTAATGTAGTAAAACAGTTTGGGTGCAAATGTTGTAATGCATTGTGCTCTAAGTTCAGAACCGTTAAAGCCATTGCGTTGTGAAACGCATCGTCTGTTATTTCAAGAATGTTATTTTCAGATAGAAATACTTCGGAGAGGTAATGGAGATTCGAAAATAATCCCTTGATGTAATGGAGATGATTGTGACTTAAGTCTATTGTGCGAATGTTTTTGTTTCTTTGAAATGTATTCTTACCTATATTTATTATTTTATTCCTACTAAGATCCACTGTTTCTAATTTTTCTAAAGTGTGAAATGCTTCCTCGTCTAATTCTTGTATTTGATTACTATACAATATTAAAGTTTTTAGTTTCGGTGTACAATAAAACCAGTTCCTTTCTATTTTGGTTATTAAGTTTGAAGTTAAATCTAAAGTTAGCAAATTAGGTATACTAGCATTAACATCGTTTGGTATCGTACTAAGTCTATTCCAAGCAAGTCTTAAAATACTTAGTTTGTTTAGTTTTTTAAATGTCTGTAATGGGAAAACACTGAGATAATTTTCCGTGAGATCCAGCTCAATTAAAGAATCTTCTAAGCTGTGTAGTGCATGTTCAGAAATGTTTTCTATTTTATTGCCTTTTAAATTTAGTTTTTTCAACTTGAGATTTTTAAACGCGTTAGCTTGAATGTCTTTAATGTCATTGAGCTGTAAATCAAGAGCTTCTACATGAAACAATTCGGAAAATGCTTCACTCGGGATCCTGTCTAATTTGCTTGAAATTATGCTTAAAGATATCAGCGTATCGCGGAGTGAATTGAAAGCTGTTGGATTTACTTTGTGTACTGCTGACTGCGAGATTTGTAAATTGTTAACTTTTATTTTTGAAGGGAAAAGGTCCGCTTTCAACTCTGTGGTTGAGCTCTCAAGATCGTAGATTGATAAGGATTGGATGGTTCCCCTTATCTTTGACAATACATTTTTTACAACACCAGGACTCGCGCTGGGGCACTCCAGAAATAATCCTGAAAGAAACAAGGGTATAGTCAACTTTTGCTCTTATATTTAAGGTGTAAACTAACCCTTTTGAGACCCTTACCTTCCTTAAAGTTATAACAAGGACAAATGGGGTTCTCTGAGAGACTCGGACACTGGGATTGTTCTTCTCCTTGCAGTATCGGGACGTGGATGACTAGAAGAAAGGCGTATGCTCTCCATTTCGCGGCGGACAATCGGATGAATATGCCCATGTTGTTGCGACGTCATTGCAAACGCATTATGCGTTCGATGCCAGGAATTTAGCCACAGCTCTAGTGCTGACTGATCTGGAAATAAAATATAAAGTTAACCATATTTACTTATTTATTAAAGGATGTTAAGTCGAGATAATAAAAGGAAATCACAAAAATGTTTATGTAATGCAGCAGTTTTTTTAGGTTGTAAAAATAACTAAATAAAATAATTGTCTAGTTTTTTATGTTAAAAGATGGAACATAAGTTTTTTATGTACTCATAATGCAACCTTTGTTTATGGTTGAAAGAAAAACAAAATATAATGAATTTATAAAAAGAAAACAAAACCATTAAGTCGTCGGGTTCAGGTGAATATTAGGTTTTTTCTCTCTCTCTCTCTCTCTGGTTTGTGTCAGGAATATTACGTGTTTCAAAAAATGTAGATACCTTTTATAATATAATATTAAAATAAAAGTGTCTCCAGAGTATTAAGCGTATTTGCATGATTTTATATACGTAAAGGACAGCCGCGAAATTTCAATCAATGCACATATACACTCGGTACAAAAACACCCTTCGGGCACACCCACTATGTACAAATAAAAGATCCATTGTCCAGTAAAGTCTGAAATTTCACAAAAGAGTCACGGTGTTCCTTTCCAATTTAAGTGTAGAACCGGAAAAGGGTTTAATTAATCGCCATGTATCTTGGGACGTGACACACAATACTTCATTGTTTCATTGTTTTCACATAAATAAAATGGACGCCAATTGGTTGAATAAACCTTTTCAAGTATAAAATGTTCTTGTTTTGTATATATATCATAAGCTGAAATCCGTATTGAGATAGATTAATAAATAATCGCGCACCGTCTGAAGTTAAGGTTCGTGATTAAAGAATTTTCCACAAAGAATATTCGCGTGGTGGATATGTTGAGTATTACAAATTTCGTTATTCGGCAGTGTAGATAGTGTGATAAACAATGACAACGAATTTTTAAACGACTTAAAAAAAAAGGAGGAGGTTCTCAATTTGACTGTGTTTTTTTTTGTATGTATGGTTACGTGATAACTCCGGTATTTGTGAACCGATTTTCATGATTCTTTTTTTGTTGGAAAGAGGGTACCTCCATAGTGCCATTTAATTTTGAAGAAAATCATCCACTTCTAAGGATTGCTGTTCACGCATTTTCATAAATAGCGCATACATTTTATTACAAGGAGCAATTATTTTAATGGTTGATTTTACTATTCTCCAATTCAAGGCGTTTTCTCTCAATATACTTTGAGTAGTGAGAACCGATTTTTATTATCTCCCGTGTCAAGTCCCGTATAGTGACGAACTAGGGGATGAATCCGGGTTTGCGCACTTTCCGGTAACCGATTTCAATAAAACTTGGTAATTATATGTAATTCGGTTCAGGTCGGTTTTTTTAGTACTCTGTACTGAGATTATCAAGTGTTAGCATGATAAATACGAATATTTAGCAATGTAGACGGTGTAACGTACAATGGGCAATTCAATGAGCATTCGTCAACGAATATTTGTGTCCTGGGTACGCCAAGTGTTACAAACTCGAATGTTCGGCAGTGCCGCTCAAAGCTTTAAATCACAAAAATCTGAGGGGTAACTGCCACTGCGTCTGTCAATGTGAGACATAAGTTGGCAAGTCGCATAAGTCTGTAATAATCAGCAACCGTTAGCCTTCAAAACCAAAAGGCAGTAATGCTTACATTACTACTTGGCCGCAGAAACAGGCTAGGTGGCAGTACTTCCATGGACGAACTCCTTTACAAGGACTCTACTGCTACTACTGCGTAACAAACTACGGGCAAAAGTTCGTCAAAGATCATTCGACAACGAATATTTATGTGGTGTGTCCGATGAGCAGTAAAAACTCAAATGGCCGGCAGTTTGGACGGTGTAACAAATACAAGGAACTTTTTGCGGTGGGTACGACGAGTATTACAAACTTGAATGTTCGGCAGTGTGGACGGTGTAACAAACAATGATCAATCGTCTGTATAATTGTCCGTCGCAATGCTCCAACAAAACAAATGCTCATCGGGGTCATTGGACATTCGTTTGAATGCGCGGTGCTCTGTAATTAGTTAAAGACCGCGTAATATAGAATACAAATGTATGTGACTTTTTTATTAACTAACTGAAATTAATTAGGGGCGTTACACAATTAGCCAAATTACAAAATTATCAAACATTTGTCGCAGTCGTTAGCAACTATTAATACTGTAAGCTTTAGTAGAGTCAAAAACGCTCATTCTTGGACTAGCTTGTTTGTTTTTTATTATTTTTATAAATAATAGACACACGCTTGCCCATAACCTCACCTCATGTTAAGCGACAATGTAACCGACGATGGTACGTTTGCCTAAAAATGCCTATTCATTCTAACCTTGAATAGCCCCAAATTGTACTTTTCGGGAAACACAGATAGTAGTAGAGTATTCCATTCCTTTGCCGTACGCAGAAGAAAGGAGCAAGCAAAACGCTTAGTGCGAATGGGTGGTATATCAACGACATAAGGATGGCGTGTTCCGGACCTTCTAGTCGACCGAAGGAGGAACGGTGAGGGTGGAACTAAAATGAAAAGGTCCTGCGCACACTCCCTGAAACTAGTGTTCACTACTTAATAATTTCAATGGCAATTTTTATTATTTAAATATTCAACTGTATTATCGTGTAATTATTAAATCAATTTCACTATACAATATTCGACTGTTAAATTATATTGCACGATAAAAAAATCATACTTAAGTAATAAAAACTGTCACGGAAATTAGGTCATGAACACTAGTCCGAGAATGACCGTTAAATGTCAAATGGACTTTATAGATAAAATCTACTGAAGGAAAAGAAGTAATCAATTTATTGTGTTGTTAAAATGGTCAATTCTATCTTCTTGTCCCGTGTGTACTTAAGAGTGTCGTATATGGTTTGATACGGCACATAGTGAATTCAGACAAAACTGTAAAAAAGTTCAAGTATTCAGCAAAAGCTATAAATTTGTTTTACACATTTTTCAACGTCTTTTAAAATTTATTGTACACTTGTGCGTCTTTTGAAAACGGGTACAAATAAAAAGCGTGAAAAGTTAAACAAATATTCTATGTAAGTACAGTAAAGAAAAGGGAGATTGGATTAGCCATTAAAATGCTTTGCATTAACGACTATGGCAACAGGCTCCATTGACCGCTAGAATTAAAAGATGCAAATTTCCACTAAAAGGAAAATTAAAAATCGATTTGTCCGAAGCGTTTATTGCAGACAAAGCACCCGTAGCGGTTGAAAAAAAAAGTACGAAATTACTCATGGAATTTAAATTTTCTCAAAGGGTGGCTAGATGCCAGAGTCTTAATAAGAACACAGTAATTCATAAAAGGTGTTATTAAGTTTTGAACTCGTTATAAACTCTTTACAAGTAGTTGTGGTGTTGATGTAAAGAAGAATACAAGCCGGATCAAAGCAATTTTTTCTAAGTGTTCGATCTTTCAATTATTATTAATTATTAATTTATCACCAACCAGTGGAGTAATTTAACAAAAAATAATTGAATATCAATTCAATACAAATTTAAATACAATTAATAGCGATATCTCTAGCTAGGGATGGTAGCTGTAAAGCTACCTAACTGGGTGACGAAATACATTCGTAGATTCTTCTTAGATAGCGCTACGGCTAAATAGTCGTTAAAAAAACCAAATACAAAAGATCCGACAATAAGTACATAGAAAAATTCGTGAGGTCCGCTAATTCGTTCCGTGGCTTAGTTGGCATAGCGTCTGCCACGGTTTCCTAGAAGACGTCGGTTCGAATTCGGCCGGATCGAAGGAATTTTTTCTAAGTGTTTGATCTTTGTATTAATAATTATAACAAATTAGTTTTTACATTAATTTCACAAAAAATAGTTGAAAATCAATTAAATATAAATTTAAAGAATACAATTGTTTGAATTAACTTTGTTTGAGTTAACTGCACCCTATTTGTTTGTTATAATTAGCCGGATCGAAAGGATTTTTCTTTATGTTCGATCTTTGTATTAATAATTATGTATTAATGCATTTTATTGTATTGCAATATTGAAATGCCTCCGTGGCCGAACGGTTACCAGTACCACGTTGAGGTCCCAGGTTCGATTTCCGGGCCGGGAGAAATATTTGTATGGTCTACATTTATTTCTCTCGTGAGTTTGGGTGTAATTTGTAATTGTCTATGTGGGTGTCCATGGCACCCGCGACACAGGGTTTTCCCTAGTGCGGGGCTATGTTGAGTGTGTGCGTTATTATTAAAAATAATGACGCAGTTTTATTATAGATTCTATTTAGACTTAAACCATGTTACATAACAGCTAACATATTGTGTTTTGACTGGTGTTGATCAAGAGATCGTTTTGAACTATAGAGTCAGAAAATTCGTAGAACTCCTCGACAGGACCTTCCCTGCACATAAAATAAATCAGCCGAGTGAGTGCATTATTATTCTATTTATAACGAAAAAATAAAAACAAGCTAGTCGATAAAATAAATTATAATAAGAAAACTGTTATTCATTCATGCGTAGATGTATTAACCATTTTGTAGATTTTTAAAGCACCTTTGAAATATGCGCTGATAATTTTAATGGTTCTGGGTTTTGGCGCATTTTCTTTGATTTGTCATTATTTTGTCTATTTTTCATACTCGTGCTCATTTTGTGTTTCCATTTTAAAATAAACTGTAAGTACATTCTGTTTGATCTTACTCTTCGTTAGTACCCCATTTAAACAGTCCACTACATATTTTGGTCCTTCAAGCCGGATGTAATCATTATTACTTAATATGTTAGTATATTTTTAATGGTCAGTTAACTATCTAATTCGTAGTTTCATACGCATTAGTGTAGCAATCAAAGTTTTGAGCTCTCATACTTTTTCTCATCCGTCCAAACACGCTCACTTGCTCGTAAAGTTAATCGGCTAAACTTCCGCAGGTCGCACACTGACGCAAAAATGTACACACTCACACATCACACGCACTCTCATACACATCTCACGCACTTACACATCACACTCACTCTCATATATTTTTTCTTTTC